TTGTTGTTCTTGTTGTTGTTCTTGTTGTTGTTCTTGTTTTTGTTCTTGTTGTTGTTCTTGTTGTTATTGTTGTTGTTGTTGTTGTTGTTGTTGTTGTTGTAGCGTGTGGAGATAACTGTATGCGGAGGAACAGTAGAAGCAATGATGTGTCCGCTGGGTGGCAGCAGAAGGCAGGACAAGGGAGACGAACTTGACCGTGATGGCAGGCTCGGATGGTCACTGGTCACCGGAGGTACACTGGAATGACGACGCTGAACCGGACTGGTCGAAGGGCGTCCCGTCAATGCTCCGCCTCCTTTTCTATCTTTTGGAAACCAGAAACAGAAAGAACCACTTTCGTTCAAAAATCCTCTCTCTCTATTTTTCAGTTCCCCACCCGACTATCACAAATTTCGTACAGATTTACGTTACCCGATAACTCCACCGCCTATTTCTCTTCCTCGTTTCCTTTCCACTTATTTCTCGCCTCCTTCAAATTTTGTTATCTTTTTTGCCGCACACTGGCTTCTCATCCTCCTTCGCTACTGGTCGCCTCTGATTTTTATGGATCTAACACAATTCACACTCTGAATTTCAGATTTATTCAAGCATGCACATTTCCTCTCCCAGCTTTTTTATCAGCTTTGTAAACTGGCCATCTGAAAAGGCAACGTCATCATCTACCTACACAGCTTCAGTCCTCACACAATTTTCGAAGCTTTGTAGAGCCAAGTAAACAATTTTCCTTTTTACCATTGCGCTGTGCTACAGAATACTGCTTACCTAAATTGCAATGAGTTAAAATTTTTATACAAGTTCGAAATGAATGAGAAGTTTGGAAAAATGATAGAATACTTTTTTACTTCCTTATAAAAGTATTAGTGATATCACTCGGAATACGAAAAAGTAGATATTGTCATACAAATGATGGACATTATTTCCGACCATGAAGTGTGTAGGAAGTTTTGAAAGATAATTAAAAGCGATGAAGATATGTTGCTGTGGAAAATGTATTGCTGGTGGGTGAATATGGTGTAATTGAAACTGTTGAAGGATGTAGGCATGAGATAGATCGGTAGTTTAGTGGAGAATCTGGATTTCCTGCAAATCACAAATCGTAATCGGAGGACGGATTGATGTGACAGTGATATGCGTGTCGTGTGCAGTATGTGTGGTGTGCTGTAGTGGTGATATTGTTGGTTCCACTTCTCTTCCTCTAAGCTTGTTCCTTGGTTTATCGGTCCACAGTGTCATCGGATGAGAAAAAAGTGAAATGTGAAGGTAAATGTAGTGTTGTCGCCTTTCCAGTTGTCATTATTGCATGAGGAGAGGAGAGAAAATGAAGATTTCTAGTCCACGGTCATCTGGTTGCACTTTGAACCGACACAATGAGTGAGTGGATCCGGGAAGACCGGTACCCAGGGAGAATGCCAATCTCCTCGCACCTCGCGTCAAGAGATGGACGAGTAAGGGAGAAGGGAAAGGAGAGGANGGGGGGGGCAATTAGTTAACAGAACAGACACTCACACCCCCGCATACACTACATCTAGGATCCGGTCTGCATGGACACCCGTCCCGGTACACCCTGCCCCGCGGCCCTTATCGGCCTCCAAGTCAACTCCGGATGTGCTTCTGCACCCCCTACCCTCTACACTCGCATCTGCACATTGAGCAGCACCATAATCCACTCATCTTCACCTACTTTCTCCCATTTTCTTCACTAATTCTTCAAAAGCTATTCCTAAATTATTCGTTTGTCCCCTATCCACAACATGCAGCACTACCGGTTCACTCCATTCACTTTTTTCTTCTCTCCCCACCCCCATCTCTCTACCTTTACATTTACCAATTATCTCTGCAACAGCTCATTCTTCTATCAATTCATCCATGCACTTTTGCATTCCGAATCACTTTATAACCGTGACACAGGGAAACTAACCATGACCCAGAAGTACAGGAGATTGATGCTATTAGCATTGTCAGCTGTAGCATTTGTTTGAGACTTCCCATAATAATCGCTTCCTATCTTTCTTTTTCCAAAATAAAAACTCTCATGGTCTGATCTGTGCATCGGCAGTGATTGAATTTCCCCCTCAAGCTGTCAAATACTGAATCAAAGTCTGAATGTCATAACTTATATGGGTGACTAAATGTCATTTCCAGGAAATTTTTCGAAACAATAAATACAGCCTAATTGTTGAATAATTATTGTTGAAAAAGCAACCCAATGCTTTTTATTGTGCTCGAATACCTAAAATGAATAATATTTGCCTGAATATGTCGAGGATAGCTTATACTTTTAAATGAACAGAAAAGAAAAATTCGTTGTTCGGAAGTTCGAGTAATCTCCAGGAATAAAATTATCCTAACTCTTTTAGTTTAAGTTTTGATCATTTTTGCCACTAACAGTACTTTTTGTAATTATTTCTTACAAAAATAATGCACCTTATTTTTTTTTCACCATAAAATTTGCAAAACTCAATACATTATAACTTCCAGTTAGCATAGCGAATAGCGCAAATAATCAAATAAATCACACTACCATGAGACTTTGCGAGCTTAATGAGGAGCAAAGCAGCTATCCAAATCAATCAATAGCACTAAAAAACATTTTCTCTTAATAATTAGCAATCAGCCACGTCAAAAAAAACTTCGGGAAAATACGGCTAATTCGATAAATCTTTCCATCAACAATCCGGAATTCTTTCACGCCTTTCCTGTAACTATTTATGATGAACTGTAATTCTATTTTCATTTTTAGCCAAGCTATTATGTAATTTAGCATAAGAAAACGATAAAGTGAAAAAAGAAAACAAGATATTGTATACCAATGAGTAGTCCATCTACGAGCGAGTGGTGCTCCAATGATCTCCGATTTAATTTGCCGAAAAAATCATTTTCTTGAAAGTGGGTCGCAACGCTTCGTTGCACTTTCGTCCCATTAGTGTATTGTTTAAGCAAGCATAGTGATCGTAGGACATATATTAGTTAGTATTAGAAGGCATTTTTTCACTAAGCGGGTGGAATTTCTTCTTTCAGGAAAAAGTCTCCCAAACCTGTGTGAATGAATATCTGAACAAACATGCGCAACAATAAATGTCTTTTTTTAAAAAATTTCAATGGTATTCTAACAAAATATGTACTGCTAAAACCAATTTTTAAATAAATTTGAAAAAAAACGACTAGTTTCGGCTAAATTTCTCGCCAAAATATTTTTTTCGGAAATGAACATTAAAATTCTTCTCAATTTCTGAGTAGTAAACATTTAGTTGTTCACATTTTGCTCTTTTTAAGCTAACATAAGATCAAAGTTTTATGTTTTTTTCCTAGTGTCAGGTTGTTTTTATTTATTCAGAAATTGAAAGAAAAATTCAAATTTTTGAAAATTTAAAAATCAGAAATTTGTTCCTGATTTATAAAGTTCGAAATCATTTTTTCAAAGCTGTAGAACATGATAGACTTGCCATGAAAGTACTAAAATTCACACGACACAAACACAATCACCACTCATTTTTCAGGTGAAAAAAAATGATACACAGAGAAATGCGCACAGAGATAAGCCGACACTTGAAATGAAAAAAAAAGAAAAACATCTGGCAACAGACGACCTCACGGAAAAATAAAAAAAATCGCTGTTTAGTTTGAATACAATCAATTCTGATATACTTTCCCTTTTCCTGTTAAAAAAAAATGCTTCTCGCAACTTGTTAGACCGGATGCAGAAACCTTACGTTTAATAATTAGCCCAACCTGGAGAGAATTCATTGAGGGATAAATTTATTGATTGATTCAGTAAATTAATTGTATTAATGGTTGATTTTGTTAGATTTTCGTATCTGACCATCATCATCAACATATCAATCCCTAAACGGTAAGCTTTTATATGTTTTGGATGACAACTTCGTTGATATGCAGATGATCAAATCATCATATGCTTTTTGTTTGCTTTGTTCCTTCACAGTGATTGTTGTTTTACTAATGACGTTTCACGAAACATGTTTTGGAATCCTGTATGGTATTTTTTCGCACTAGTAAATTTATGTTTTTATCGAGAATATGGCAGGCAGCATTGTTATATCATTTTCGTAGCGAGATACAGTCAAAAGTGGAGTAACTGAAGGGGAAATAGAATTTAGAAAATGGCATTGGTTGAAAAGAAAAATTTTAGGCGAATGAGCAGGCAGATGAAGAGAAACGGGTATTTTGAGTTCTTCGAATGAGCAGTTGTTGCAGTGAAGTTGAATTGAACTGGTTTTCTGATGGAATGTTCAATTTTTTATCGCTAGCTGAATTCGGGTCACGAGATCAATGACGGTGCGCCACATTCATCAGAGCATTGTTTTCGCAAAAGTGCTTTTGAGTTCAATGCATTAAATTGGTTAATCTACGCTCATTTACATCACTTGAACAGGATTAGCTTATGGAGAACAAATCACCATAAAATAGTAATTTTGAATGATTGAAGTTGTGAAATAGTAGCAAACTACCATTTACCACTATTCCACAACCTCAATCATTCAAAATGCCAACCTTGTCTACGAGTCAATAGCTACAATATATATTATTTCATCACCACCAACATCAAATAAGAAAATTGCCTTAAAATATAATATTGCATGGTTTCTTAAACTTCTATATGAATCAAATGTTTCTATAAGTTTAAAATAATATATGATTATAATCAACACAGTGACTAAAGAACAGGAAAAGAAAAACGAAAGAACGAGAGCAATTAATTACTTATAGATCGTAGTTTTTTTGACCAATAAATAAGAACCTGTTTAAAATATTTTTGATTTTCAATTGATGCAAATTAACATTGCTGGATAGAAATGAACAGAAGATTTTAAAAATAAGTAGCAATGATTTGTTATGAATTTATCATAATTTATAGAATTAATAATGAATTTCATTTTTCGTTTTACAGTCTATGTTGTTGACATGATAATATTTAGCAGGAATGTTTTGTCCTTATAGGAATATTCAGATGATAAGTATTATTCATCTGAAGAAAGACGATGAAAAAATACTTCAAGTGAGCTACAGATGACAGTTATGAATAAATAGTTGCAAATAAAATGGAGTGTCACCACTTTTTTGACATTGAAATGCTAAATAAACCAACCATAGCACGAATTCTGGATCCAAAATGACTGCTGTTACTTTTGTAAATGACAACTTCTGTGGTACCCATCGACCGTGGCAGGTATTTCTTTTGTAATGGCACATGTTCCTATAAACAATAACAAAAAAAGAAAAAAAAACAGTTGCACCAAGCATTTAATTTTTTTTGCGATACCAATTAACGGTTTAAAATTGAGGTGCCTTCGTTCGAAAAAGCGAATCGATTAGAGCTTTGATGCATTAGGTTCCTATTGGTTAACTCACCGATCAAGCTATTAATGGTCTTGTACCGATGAGGCGTGAATAGTGTTGTCCAGTATATTGGTTGGCTGACAGAGTTGCTGTAGCTGAACAGCCCGAACAGCATATCATAAAGATCGAATCGAATGGACGAAAAATAAGATGAAAATTTAAGTAGCGCCTTAGGTGAGAAAAGTAATTGAAAGTCAGAACATGTCATATCATGTTGCTTGGAAAATATGGTTAATATTTTCTATTTTTAATTTAATTCTACAAAATCGGTTGGAGGATTTGTATTGAATTATGATAAACGAACTAGACGCATTAAAAAAATGACAACGCATTGTATTCAATTTGAATGATCAAATTCTAGTCAAACAAGACAATATTAATCTGTTCAGAAAATAACAGAATTATGGAGTCAGTCTAGATTAAGTAAGCTAAGAATATCTTGGACATACGTTCGCATTCTGATGATACTGACACCTTACTTGGAATCTAGGTATTCTCGTACCTACGTTGCAATGAAGAATAGAAGTGTTTCTACATGATGTAGATCTGTGTAGCGCAGATGTGAACTTGACTGGAACTTGAAAGTAATCTTTAAATACTTGTTAACCCTTCTCTAGAGTCGAAATCTTCCAAAAGAATTAATCCTTGACTTTTCTGTAGTTTGTAATTACACTACCTAGATGTACAATAAAATTATATTGAATTCTATAATATAATCTGCTTTGCCTCTCTCACAGCTTAACAAGAATGAAATTTAAGATTTAAAACGATTAACCAATTTGTCGATAGGAATAATTACACATATATGCGTTCAATTCACTGAATGCTTAAGATGGAGTAAAATTAATTCCAATTTGGAGATCGAATTGTTGATCTTTTTCGAATGCAAAATTAAAAATAACAAAATAGAATATTATAACTGATACAATAGATATTAAGAATATGATAGAGTACATAAACAAGAATATAAACTAGCAAATGATAAAGTGACAGTGAAGTGAAGCTCAGGGAGGGAAACAATGCTCATGAAGTTGTTTCAATTAATTTATTGAGTAGGCAAGCACCTTTAACCAAACCCAGTCGAATTGTAGGCAACGATAATGGCGCGTGAAGGTCCTTTAAATATATAGATAGCATCAGCCCCTCTTCTTTCTCTCTGCTTCCATCCTTCGCTTGCCTTCTTTCTCCTATTGCTTTCCATTTTTTTCAATTTCATTTACGACTTTCTCTTTTAGTTCTTTTTAAAGTCACTTATGGCACTGGCTTTGCGGCTCTTCGCTAAATGTTTTTCCTTCTTATGGTTGCTACTACGACAGAAATTCTTGGACTGTACTTCATGAAGACATAAACATTATTGAAAATACTACATTGATTTATTAATTTTGTGATCAGCGTTGTACGAATTAATCTTTTTAAAACGGTAGCTGCCCAAAAAATTGAGCTAAAAATC